CTGGGTAAAATCGGATTCAAAATTAATTCTTTCCCTCGACTTTACTCTCTCTTTAAAAAATTAACATTGTTGAAACCCAAATAGAAGGCGATTTGAAATTTATGCAATTTTTAGCGGATTCTTCGCTCTAAATACCCGAAAACTTTCATAAAAATCGCTTAAAATCCTTATTTTTACCAGCTTTGGAAATATGGGTGTCACAATGCATGTTTTCACTCCCCTCCGTTCCGCTTTTAACAATGCGCATCTTCTAAACTAAATGAAACAGTGGTTTGGAGTTTTCACCATCTTTAGAAAATACTTGACTCTATCGATTTTGAAAGTTTTATAAAAATAAACGAGAATTCTGATTTTTTTCAGGTGGGAAAAAATTAGTTTCATAATGGACGTTTTAAATCAACTGCGATCTCTACTTTAAAAATACACATCTTATAAACTTAGTCAGATAGAAACTTGAAAATTTCACCACATTTAGCCGATATGTCGGTCTACAGAGAAAACTGAGAGTTTGTAAAAACTGTATGAAATGCTGATTTTTGGGCACTTAGTAAATATCGGTGTAATGATGCAGGTTTAGACTCAACTGCGCTTCCTCTTTTAAGCATTTGTATTTGCCAAACTAAATGAAGTAGTGATTTGCAATTTTCACCATCTTTAGAAGACACTTCGGTTTATAGATCGTGAGAGTTGCCTACAAATCATTCCAGGAGCTGATTTTTTCGAGCTCCTTTAATATCGCTCACATAATGGAGGTTGTCACTCAAGTGCGCTCTCTTATTTAAAAATTCGTATGTTTCACATTTAATCTAGTGGCTCATTACACTTTCTGCCATAAACAGAAAACATTTGACCCTATAAACGATGCGAGTCTCATAAAAATTCTCTGAGAATCCTTTTTTTTCAGCCTCGTAAATGTTAGTCTTACATGGATGCTTTCAGACACTTCTGCGCTTTAAAAATTTGCCTCGGCCAAACTAACGCAAGTAGAAATTTGAAATGTTCACCATCCCCACAAAACACTTACCGTGAAAGATCGTGAAAGTTTCATAAAAATCGCACAAAATCCTGATTTTTGCCAGCCCAATAAATATCGGTCCCAAAATGTTTTTTACCCAACTGCGCTCTTTCTTTAAAAATTAACATTTTACAAACTAAGCCAAGAGCAACTGCAGCTTTTCACTATCTTTAAAAAACACTTCGTTCTGATGGCTCTGAGTTTTAATCTAGTAAAAATCATAAATAATCCAAACTTTTCTCACCTTAGTAAATATCGTTCTCATAATGGAGGTTTGTCTCATCTGCGCTCCCTCTTTTAAAAAGACGTATCTTTTAACATAAACACAGTAGTGAGTTGTAATTTACACCATTATAGAGAGGGTACTTGGCATGAACGATTCTGAAAATTTGATAAAATTCACCCTGAATCCTGATTTTGTCTGGCTGGATAGAAATGGGTCCCCAAGTAGAAAGAACATTTTGCTCGAAAATTCGAATCCTCCAAATTAAAACAAGCTGCGTTTCCCAGTTTTCCCCATCGTTAGAAAACACTCAACTCTACAGGTTCGCAAAGTTTCATAAAAATCCTGCAAAATTACGATTTTTGCCAGCTGAGTAAACATCGCCCTCAAATTGGATGTTCTCACTCCATTGCACTCTCTTGTTCAAGAGCTCGTATCTTCCAAACTCTAGCAAGCAATACAACACACCTTCAAAAAATACTGAACTCTGAAGATCCGGAGTTTTCTGTTTGCCAAATTACTATTCTAGTCGTTATTTAAGAGAGTAAATCATGGAACAAAAATGTTCACACTTTCAGAGAACTCCTGGACCAAAAAGCTGACCTGGCAATAGCTGATCTCACCATAACATACGACCGGGAGCAGGCGGTGGACTTCACGATGCCTTTCATGAACTTGGGCATCAGCATTCTCTATCGGAAGCCCATTAAACAGCCCCCGAACCTCTTCTCCTTCCTGTCGCCCCTCTCGCTGGACGTCTGGATTTACATGGCTACAGCCTACTTAGGCGTCTCCGTCCTCCTGTTCATCCTCGCCAGGTAATGGCAAAATCCATATTAAACCCCCTTAGTTTAGTGCTGGAAAGATGAACGATCCGACTACACAGGTTTACTCCCTACGAATGGCACAACCCCCATCCATGCGACCAAGACCCCGCCCGTTTGGAGAACCAGTTCACATTATTCAACTGTATGTGGTTCGCTATTGGCTCGCTCATGCAACAGGGCTGCGATTTTCTCCCCAAGTAAGCCAATCGATGCCCTCAGCATTTGGCCAGCCGTCCAAATGTAGGGGGCATCGAAGGAGATCGGAAAAAAATAACGCTGTTTGTTATGGTTGCAGGTTCAGCCCGTATGAATGGGACAACCCGCATCCATGCAACAGCGAGCCAGATGTCTTGGAAAACCAGTTCACCCTGCTAAATTCCTTATGGTTCACCATCGGGTCTCTAATGCAGCAGGGATCCGATATAGCCCCAAAGTAAGTTCAATGTTGTCGCCTTTTTCCTCTACCTACTCTCATTCTTTTCTGCTCGCTTTTTGATCAACGTCTACGGGAAATTTTCCAGAAGTGAACTGATTTTCCCATTTGGCTGTTGTTGACTAACGCCTACAACGTCCTCCTCTTGTTTTCAATTAGAGCGGTTTCGACCCGAATGGTGGCAGGAATGTGGTGGTTCTTCACCCTCATAATGATCTCCTCCTACACGGCCAACCTGGCAGCGTTCCTCACAGTGGAGAGGATGGACTCCCCAATAGAAAGCGCTGAAGATCTGGCAAAGCAGACCAAAATCAAGTACGGCGCTTTACGCGGAGGCTCAACAGCCGCCTTCTTTCGGGTAAACCACTCACTGTTGCATTGGCAACCTTTCGGAAGGCCAATTGTTTTGGTCCGGTTTAGGACTCAAACTTCTCAACTTATCAACGCATGTGGGCCTTCATGGAGTCTCAAAGGCCTCCGGTCTTCACCTCCAGCAACCAGGAGGGCGTGGACCAGGTGGTAAAGGGCAAAGGCAGTTATGCGTTCCTGATGGAGTCCACCACTATTGAGTATATTATTGAAAGGAACTGCGAGCTCACTCAGGTGGGCGGGATGCTCGACTCCAAAGGATATGGAATCGCCATGCCTCCAAGTAAGTTCCCAGCAACCAAAAATGTCCTCGAAATACACAGTTTTATTGCGAAAAACTCAAGGAATTATCCAACAACAAGAGACGATCCCGATAAGGTATAAGGGGGAATGACCAAATTCGTGGGGGCGGGGCCTTTGCGGGCTCTGCCTGAAATGTCGAAGTGGGAGCCATGGCAGGGACAGTAGTAGCCTCCAAAGTCCCCTTGGTGGGATAACGGCACGCAACCTGGGATTTTTAGGAAGTTTTTTTTGACATTTTCCTGAAAATTTACTTACCTAAATGCGTGCAAACCCCCACGCAAACAAACCATTTGTCTTCCTGCACTCTGTCCTCATCACGCTGCGGATCTCTCAGGGTGCTTAAGGGGACTTGTCGCACCTGAAATTCCCATGTGAGAGGAGCAAAAAAGGTTTTCCCTAGGGGCTAGCTGATGAGCTTTGCAGAGGGTCTGAGGTGCAACTTTTTTATTACCGCTTTCACTGCTTGTTCCGGACGATTCCACACAAACAAAGGCTTTCCTCTCCATTTAAAGGTCATGTGCCGGTCCTCCGGAATCTGACTCAGATTGATTTCGATCTTGGCCAAAGCGAGAACATCGGCTGAGGCATTCATCGATTTCACATACCTTGAAGGCAAACTTTATATCAATGCCCTCTTTATGGCGGAGGTAAATTGGACCTGCTGGGGCTGTTTACTGCCTACAGAGTGTTTTCTAGGAAAGTACTGGCCCTGGAAAGGGGTGCATGCAATTTTCAAGAATAAAGGAAATCCTGAAACTGGCGTGTTTTTCTGGTAAAGTCGTGAGACAGCTTGTGCAATTTTGCATCATTCTGGTTCAAGGCTCATTGAGGTCGCGGCCTTGATAAGAGAGGGAAAGCGATTGAAAGTTTAACCAGTTAAAACGCTCTAACTTCTAAACCACTAGTCCGACCTTAGTGATTTTCAGCTTGTTTAGAAGAAAACTGTTTGTCCTTGTTACTGCCGCGTCCAACAGAGCTTGTTCGGTCTCACCAACAATGCTAGAGAGCGCCGGTTGAAGCAGTATCAGTTTGTTGGTTTTAACGCGTTCTGTTTTAAATTTTCAAGTGAACTTTAACCGTGAAAACCAAAAAAACTGTTACTGTTTCAAACTGCGTCTGCTAGCAAAATTGTCTGGAGCTATACTGAAAACTGACCAAAATCAAGCAAGTAGCTTAGAAGGTACAGCCAGTTAAATAGTAACATTTTCAATGGCTTCCCTCACTTTTCCCAGCTTGGTGTGACAAAATAGCTGAAACAAAATTGATGCAAAATTGACCAAGGTTTCTAACGATGCAACCAAAAATATGTTGTAGATAAGTTCTACATTGTTGAGGCGGATTCATTTTTCACAAACTTCTTTTTGGGTATTTCGCCTCAAAAATTTTTGTCTTTAAAAAAGACAGAATTTCCTCACGTCTTTTATTACA